GGCTATTGAAGTCAAAGTGCCGGCCGACAAAAGCATAAGTGTTAGAGACCAATTAACAGTTTGAATAACAACTAACATGTTTACCAGGAAAGTGAGAGGGGGTGACCGAAAAAAACACCTTGTTCACGGCCCTGTAAACTTCAGAAATTCTGCATTGTTATTAGCTAAAGGGGGCACTGTACGATATTCTTGCATTGTGTTTATGGAGGCAGACTACATTTCACATAAATACCGAATTCTGTCGGGCTCTCTTATGTTTATTAAATCGTCTGATGGCTTGGTTGCGTGTCCGGAAATTCGGAGAAGTAGCTCGACTTTTGGCGGCTCACCACATCCGGCGTTTCTCACTGACACCTTCGCATTAGCATGCATACCTGTACATACATCCAGACAGATAAGCACAATTTTAGAGAATACGGCCAGAAACCGGGTGAAGTACATGAATAGAGGAAATGCTTGCACCGTTTTACATATCTCTCGAAGCAAACAGGCTCTAACTGACTGATAAAGGTGATAACGAAGGAACTGGCCACCAGGGCATGCTCATTAAATACATGATAGCAGGTGAGTTAAAACATGTTTTCGGGTAGACCTAAATGGTCCTGCTTCGGTATTCATTTACATTCGAGGCCTGGTTCATTAACTTCGCCCATCGGCGCTGGTTGCCGACCGGTTTGGTGTACCTCAAGTTGGAGGTGGTCACTGGCCAAATTTATATCCGTTTAGCCGACAGTTAGTCGGATATGGAGCAAATAAGTCACCATCATACCGTAACTAACTCTATTATAAGACTAAATACCTATCGCAGGGGGTTACATGAGTTAAACCCTAACCACTGCGATATTCGGGCCCGGTTCCTTAGGTGAAGGCAATTCATGGAAAGGCTAGAGTGATAGTAACACTATATTCTGTGCAGGGGAATAGAGAATAAATAGAATGAATTTGACTCTCGCAGCGCCCGTCATCCGCTAGGACGGCTTGACCCGAAGTGCCGGCCTGAGGAAAGTCACCGCATTGAGGTCACTGTGAGTTGGCATTGAAGGCTGATTGGCTAGACGGATTGGCTAGACAGACGGGCGTAGGGAGCCGGCGCGTGTGCACTTGTTGACGGCGGTGAGCTTTTGCGCGATGATTGTGCGCGCGGAGTGAGTCAATACATCCCGTTTAACAGAAAATGAAAGACTCCTGAATGAGAATTCTTCTATACATATCATTGGACTGCTGTCAAATGACAGGAAGATTACTGGCAGTGTTACTTTAGACTGTGGGATATGGCTTAACATCGGGATCACTTATGCGCTCATTCAAATAAGTTAATTATCTTGTATCCACACCCTGTGTTGCACTGTATGAAACGAGGTCAGCTGCACTTGTTTGGCTGCGCAAACATGTTCTTTCTGCAGTTGATTTAACCGTTAATTCGGCGTGTATGCCTGATGCCGCATGCTCTTGAGCAAAAACCATGCGTGGCCCAAGGATGGCGGCGAGACACATGCAAATACAAGTACGAGTAACCAATGTATTACCGGCAAACGTTAAGACTGCAGGATACGCGTATTTCAAGCTCATTAGTTTTTGTCAGCTGCAGTTACCCGACTCCAGTATAGCCACGGAAACTGCCGCTACACTCGTCCTTGAGAAAAATAAACTGAAAGTGTCCAGTCCTATCGCCTGACGAAACAGCCAGAGTTGGTGAATCCTGGAACAGATCGGAGTACACCTACGTACTAACAAGTACGAGTCTTCTGTTGATTGTCACGTCGAAACCACGGCCCCCTTAGAATCCGGAATAAGGTGTCGCGTGCATGAAGCAGTAGACACCGTACCTTCTGTTAACGTCGAACAGTTGGGGGCAAAGGGAACCAGAGATGAACAAAGTATTCGCCCACCACAAACTTCTAACCATCCGACAGTTAGTCCGTCGACTCCAAAGATGCCCTACAGCGAGGTTGGGCAGAGGCGGTGACTTACACGTGGATTAGTTTGAAGTGATAGTAGATCTGCTTTGTATCTACCACACTTTCACCCATCGGTGTCGGGTGTCAAGACAGAGTTAAAAAGACCAAATTCGGAATCAGGCGCAAATGACCGAAACCACCAAGCCTGATTCAGGTCGCCTGAAGTGGCAGTGCAATAAACGTCACGGTGGCTGATGCTTGAATCCGCACACACGCATGCTACCAACGCCCAATGGAAGCGGCGGCACGAACCTAGCTCCACAGCCTGGGCCCCATCATAAACCCCATAGTACGCCACCTATACTTGACCAGGACTTTAACACCCCAAGAGGATAAGGGGCAGCAGCTCTGATCCCAACTCTTACCTTGATTTCAGTGGAAAAAAAAACATTAAACACTTTGACGTTCCAGTTTTCAGTCAACGGCCAAGCGCGAAAAGTAAAATAACTGTTGGTTCTAGGGCGGATCGGTTCATTTCGAAGACATTTTTAAACATGGTGACCTAGTTAAAATAGTCAAAGACCGATCGAAGAAAGGTTGGTACTACTTGAATAGCCCCGTAGTCCTAGAATATTATCGACAAAACTTGTACTTTTGCACGAAGAAGGTAAAGGAGGCCTTCCAGGCTTCAGAACTGATAACAAAGTTCTAGTCGTTCTCGCTGGTGCTTATAAAATTATGAATTAATTATCCCTCTCGGCTATATCTAGGAGTTTCCAAGACATAGCAAAACCAGGACCTTTCTTGGTTTACTTTGATTAACAGTAGGATACAATTACAAAATTGAAAAAATGGACGCTCGTTTCTACTGGGAATGCAGTCGCTGCTTCAACTTTCATTTTAGAACAAAAGCAATCTGTCTCGTGTCTCTCGCTGAACGAAAAGCATTCAAAGAGATACTCCTGAAGGTCTTCACGGGGTAAAAAAGCTGGAACCGAGGTGCGTCCTGTCTGCTTTCTCATGAGAAGGAAGCAGAACAATCTTGCGTGAGTCTAGGGGTAAAGGTTTGTAAACTCTACTGCGTACATCATCTTCTCAAGAGGAGTTCTTCCGGATGTCATCCAGTAATCTGCCGTCACCAGCAAATCCATGGTTTTGAAGGAGTTCTTCGTAGCTCAACAGTCTTGTGAACTGCATTTAAACACACGAAGGTAGAAATGCAAATCCCTGTTAATAAACTACTTAATTTGCTGAACATTAATCATTAAGAGAACTCCGCGCCCTGTTTTTTTTAAGATATCAGTGCCGTTTTTGCAGTTTACTCACTTTTGCCTCGCAAACACCAGGAACTGACACCGAAAATTAAATTGAGCAAGCTAGTTTTCAGCCATTTTTTCAAGATGCGGTGCTGCCGTAACTAAACCGGGGAAACTTAAAATAGTATTTAAATCGTACCAAATTTCAACACAAACATCAGAAACATACCATTGCAGTATTGTGTTGGAATTAAAAAACGTTGTTTATTATTATCTTTTTTAAATATAAAATTAATTGCTTTAGAATTTAGTGAAACGAGAAATTGCAATCCGTTCAAACATTCACATGGAACATTCAAGGCCTTCAAGGATGCAGCCATTGAACAGAATATTATTTGGATAATACCAGGAGAGCAGAGTACATTCAGTTGCACCTTATAAATAATCAATTCTTCACATTAACGCGTTAGAAAAACGATGAAAGTGCTGAAAACATGCGAGAGTTAGCCTCACAAAGGTTGCTCATCTCTATCAGATAACCAGCTCTGTTATCTTAAAGTATCATTGTCATAAATTTCAAATGTAGTCAAAGTGGTCTGAAGGGCTCCAGGTGGTAGGTTTCTTTCTTTCTAATTCATCATGGCTAGAGTTGAATAAGTTACCAGGAAATAATTTACTTTTCCCAAACCAATTTAAATCCTGCAGTTGCAAGCATGGATTTTTAATCAACGAAGAACTTACTACAGGTATTGAGGCAAATGTTCGCAGGTAATTAAGGATATGGGCGAGGTTTTATGATATAAAAGTACGCTGACAAAACCCTAACCATAGCACGGCTTGTTAGTGTCTAATGCTTCAAGAGGAAGTAAAGCGGCTTATATTGCCGTTGACTGGAGAGAGGCTCGAGTCGACTGCCTGCATCTGGGCAGTTAAAGTCCTTGTACTCTTCGATCATGAAAAATAAATATTGTTGAGCAAGCCCAAAATGTTTTGAATCACAAGCTGCAATAAATTCTATCGATTTCCAATTGTCCGGCCCCAAAAAATAAAAAAAACGACATTAAAGACAAACAAATTAAAGACGACAAATGCATAAAATGTCAAGTGTCTGTCAGTCCCTTCTCATGACGTTACGTTTGTTTATGTAGTTGACTTTAATGGCGCCAGCAAAGCTTTTTCAATGCATTTAAATATAACGTTCAACTGTGACTTACAAGAACAAAATGAACTCTACTAGTGTGACTCTGATGTTAGTGAAAAAGGCCACTTTGACATTAAACTTCACGGCTCATCTACGTACTGAGCAAGCCTGTATGCCCTTTTCTAATTAGTGGTTAACTACATTTAATCAAATCACGTTACAAATAGCCTGCAATACGTGATACATGACTGCTCATTGCATGTGGCTTTTCCATTAAAAAGGCCTAATTAGACTGCCGGCTAGATTCTTGAATGTTTAATCTAAAGAACCGGATGTGGATACATAAACAACAAAAGTGAATGCTAATTTAGGTTCGAAGTAATTATTTTCGGTCATCCGCTAGCCGCTTTACCCGGCATGCGGTTGAAGGACCGCTTACCGCCAACGCCGCTATGCAACAGCGTTCAATTAGCTATTCGTACGCAGGCGTCTAAAAGGGGTGGCCACCTGACTGGTTGTATCCGAATTAGAAAAAAAAGATAATTCGCTTGGTCTGGCTGACAAACCTATGCTGCCTTCTTTGGTGACCAATGCCGTTTGTTCGTCAGTAACCTCGCACACTTTATTTCATTGGCTGCATATATTAGCACTTGCACTATATTTAGTCAGAAACAAAACTGACAGCATAACCCAGCTGGGACTAACATGAAACTTTTGCATTATCTTGCGTTTCTACTCGCTCTGTTGACGGTCTGCGGAGCCTGGACCGTAGGCGACACCTATGTCCGACGGGAACTCTGGAAGTCCTGGAAATTGGCCTTCAAGAAAAACTACTTCAGTGGCCGAGAGGAACTCCACCGAAAACGTGCATTCTACAGCAACCTGGACTTCATCATTCGACACAATAGACGATATGAGTACGGCCTAGAAACCTATGCAGTGGGACTCAATGAATTCAGTGACCTGACGCCGCAGGAATTTGCTGAAACCTACCTCTGTTTACGGGGGAGCGTAGTGATGAAGTTAAGACGCAGCAAGCCAGTAACCAGCCTGCCATTCACCGGAAGACTACCTGAAACCGTAAATTGGCACGAGAAGGGAGCTGTTACGTCGATCAAAAATCAGGTTCGTTATCGAATTTAGAAAGTAAACACGCTCACAGGTAATATTTAAAATTTTTTCAGTTGACATCAGTGTTTTCGCATTCTTACAACTTATTGTTTATTTTGCCCTACTCTTCGCTAAAAAGGCAGTTACAAAGGCATCCATGAAAACGTCAGAACAGGGTATGCTCTACAGAATTTTTAGAAATTATAAAATTTCATGGGTAGGGTGCGGTTGAAACAAGAAACGATGCAGACCAATTTTTGATCTGAAGAATAGGTTCATTAAGTTGATAGAAAATGATAAAATATTGATTCACACGAATTACCTTTCTCTTTCTAAGTATAACGCCTCGATTATTGATTTCTGGTACCGTACTTTCATTTCATTCTTCAAAATAAAATGAACATGTTTACAATCAAAATGAAGTAAGAATGCCTGGTGATGGGTACTTCCACGGTAATTTGCAACTGTGATTATTAACACAACTGAATTGCTGATTTAAGAGGAAACTGTAGATTAAAGCCTAACGAAAAATCCAGTTATTGACAGTCATCTGTTTCTACCAGCATCCAATTTTCTTCTTGTACTATTGATTCTTGACTGTTTTGATAACTAAATTGCCTGGAATTCTGTTTCGCGTGATAAAGTTGCGGGCCCGGTCATGGAAGTATTACTGTTACCCTTCCAGATTCCAGATGGGCTTGATAGTGACTTCCCAACCGTCAGTAAACGTGCATTTTTTATTCATTTTTGGCTGCATGTATTCTCTTAACATTTGAATTTATTCAGGATTCAGTTTGGAACCTGAGAATGACAGAAATGAGCATTGCATTTTAGCGGATGGAGATGATACAAATTTTTCATTCTAACATTCGACAGCTTAATTTCGTGTCCTCATGCAATTTTCTGTCAAATGTGTAAGTACTATTTGGATAAAATAGCATATGAAATATTTCGTGCTACAAGCCCATTTTTTCAACCACATATTTTGAAATAAATCTGTCGGATTACATTGGACCCTTTCCTCATCCTCTCCACAATTCTCTTCCTAAATAATGTACATCTAACCACTTAGGGTCAATGCGGCGCCTGCTGGTCATTCTCCGCATGCGGTGCCATCGAAGGCCAAATCGCGATCAAGACCGGGGTTTTGCGCAGCCTCTCAAACCAACAGTTGATGGACTGCAGTTGGGAGTATGGTAACCAGGGTTGCAACGGGGGACTCATGCCGTTGGCCTTCCAGTACGTCAAGAAGTTCGGGGTCGAAGCGGAGGTTGACTACAGATATGAGGAAAGGGTAGGTCGCATTGTTTACAACTTCTGGCGTTTTCGTCACCTCCATAAGCATGCTATTCATATTGCCTACTCTCCACGGCGAAGGCTTTCTAATGAAATGGCTAATTATGCGTCGTTCGTAAGTGTATCTAGTACTTTAGTTATAGGATACGAATTTCGCCCTTGGGCAAGGTAGCCCACTGTTACAGTAACAAACTTGGAAGGTACGATGTTTTGTGTGTGAGAGCCAGGTGAAAACTGCAGCGAGCGTAAGAATTGCAATGAAGTGTACAGTTGTTTCTCAACAAACGAGTATCACGTCCGCATTTAAATGCCTCAACAGTGTCCAAAAGCATAACCGCAGCTGGAAGTCCATTCTGGACTCTAAGCGATCTCTGCGGAAAGAGTTTCTATCGTAGGTACGTCTGTAGGGGCCCGTCTATATCTACCGTTCATAGGAATGTCCACTTCTGTGGTTTATTTTATTCGATTTAAAGGAGTCATCAAACTGTAGGATGCATTTAGGCTTAATAGTTTCGACTAAGGGGAAAACGGAGTTATCTGTACTTTAAGGGAAGTAAATTTAGTTAAACCAAGTCTGCTACGCATGACAGAATACCAGGAATCCCTACCATCTCCATAACCTTCGTCCGCTCCATTTCCAGCAGTTTATATTCCTTCTTCGGTCATG